TTCCCTGTAGCCGACAATGGTTAAAATTAAAACAGTGTTGAGAAGCCACAGAGAGAGAGAGGGAGAGAGATTGTCCACTTGGTTAAATGTCATGGGCAGCTACTGATTTGGTTGTGGTGTCTCTATGTATATTTTTGTAAAGATTTGCATTTTTAATGCTTAGATATTTGGTGATGACTTGATTGATCGTAACTTGCAACATTGTCCTTTTACAAGTGTCACACCCGTAGAGAAATTGGTACCAGTTTTTGCTGGGCAGTTAAACCAACTGTTTAACTGGTTCTTTAACTCTAAACTTTGTGAGAAAAAGGAAAACTGGACAGCTGTAGTGCAACACTGGCTGCTGGGAAACCAGACTGGCAGTTTGTTTCCATGGCTCCAGGGCAGGTTTCGGTGTTCTCCGTGCCCACCAGCACCAGTAGGTTGGCAAATGGAGCTCTGTGGAGAGAGATTTGGGAGATTTCTCTTTACCCTGCTTTATGGAGAGATGGTACTGACCTTGCATGTACGACATGGGGAGAGAGTTGGTCTTGAAGCTCACTCAGAGACTGAGCAGTGTCGTGACCCTTCAGGATAGAGGCTTCACTGCCTCTGCCCTGGCTGCTAGTGCTGAAAGTGTGAGGGAAAAAACCCACCTTGAAATGGAAAATCTAAATTCAATTTTCAGCAAACGGCAGAGCAACTAAATATTATTAGGTTGTGTGTACATTTTATGCAGTTTTTTGTATCTATTCTAAATTTTAGTGAGCAGTTAACCATAAAGTTGCTTAGTTTTCCTGCTGTTAGATACAAGTAGATTGTTTCGAGTTGTGTGTGTACAGTATATAAGAACTAAACTTTTATGCCAATGACTCCTGTGGTTAGTTGGTGTATTCCTAGGTATCAAACTGTAGCCATCTCCCTGGGTTATTTACCAGGCTTGCTTTTTACACAGCAAAAAAAGCCGTTGGTCAAGCAAGTCTGAATCACTCCTTCCTCAGAATTGATAGTGGTTTGGTTACAAGATTTCATTTTCCTTCAGAACAAATGTTTGAAGTTGGGTATGAACAAGAGCTGCATCTCTAGTTATGTAGTTTATCACTAATACAGTATATTTAGAAAATTGAATGTGAAAAATAACAAACCCAGTGTGTAATCTTTACCAGTATTTCTCTAGAAGGCAAGATCCTTTGTTATGGAAATGGCTTTTGGCATTGGTTATTTTTTTTTTTCTCTTTACCTCCAAAAGCCACCATCAAACACTTAGTGTTATGTTCCTCGCTGTCTGATGTCTGTAGCATATAAAGACATTGATTTCCAAAAGTTCCTTTTTAGAGAAATGTTTTAGGGTTTGGGTTTAGTGTTTCAACAGGGCCTTTAAAGAAGCGCAGATGGCTTTGGGATATCGTCAGCGGAACGTGCTTAGGGGTTGATCCTAGAACCTTTGTACATTTGATAGTATTTCTAACTTTTTCTTTACTGTTTGCAGTTAATGTTCATGTTCTGCTATGCAATCATTTATATGCACGTTCCTTTAATTTTGTAGACTTTCCTGGATGTATAGTTTAAAAACAGCAAAAAGTCTATTTAAAACTGTAGCAGTAGCGTGCAGCTCTAGCAGAGGAAAGTTGTGGGATTAAACTTTGTATTTCCTTTCTTATAGAGGCTTCTAAAAAGGTATTTTTATATGTTCTTTTTAACAAATATTGTGTACTACCTTTAAAACATCGATGTTTTGATCAAAATAACTAAAGACCCAGCTTATTTTCTGCTTGCTGTAAATTTAGCAAACATGCTGTAATAAAAAAATGAAGGAAATACTGATCCACTGGAATTATTGTAGCTTTAGAATTTGACTCCAGAGCATGGTTAGGAGTAGAGAATGCATCCCTTATGGAGTAAAATTCTTACTATGGTATTTCAGTAAAGGCAGGAAATGTTCATTTAATGTCTGAATAAATGTCATTTCACATTTTTGAAGGGGTACAAGACAAACTGAGAATGCTAAGTATAAACTGTAGTCAAATATATTGAATTTTCTTTTCCATTAACTTTGTTATTGCTGGATGGACTTGCCCTGTAGGTTATAATTCAGATATTATTAACCAGGTTATGAAACTACTTAAAAGTGACAACTGAAGGTTCATACAGAATCAAATTTATAGTGTTGCCATATCAAAACTGGTGCCAGCAGTGGTTCTGTGGGACRTGGCAGCAGGGATGGAGCTGCCTCCTGGCACTGGTGTGTGCCCAGCTGGAGGGAGATTCTGCCCAAAAGACAAAAATCCTCTGTAAAGCACTGAATTGCTTTGATAAACCCACTGTCACCCTTTAGAAGTTGAGCTGTGATTACTTCTTGACAGCAGAAACCTCCACCCTTTTCAGGTTTATAGAGATACATATATGTATATATGTATAGTCTTCATGACTAAATCCTGTTTGAAAGGGGTSCTCCTGACTGAGTGTGGGGAGAGCGTGGCTGTGTTTGTGTCAGGGACTGCAGGGATTGCTGTGGTTCATGATGACTTTGCTCCAGCTGGAATAGCTGGATGGTGGGAGGAGGGAGGAGAAATCTCTGTGTCCAGGCAGAGGGGCTGATTTGAGAGTGCAGAGTAACAGTAACTATTCCTTAACTGTTGTGTCAGCATGTCCTTATATTGTGTGCCTCAGCATTTATGTATAGCACAGTTTAATATTTGTTTTGAAAAGCCAGATCATTGCAAGTATAATGTAGTGTCTGCCACTTCTGATGGTTCTTTCTTTCTCTCCCAGAGGTAGGACTAAACTTTGACTTGACTTGTGTATATGAACAAGCCAGAAAAGCCGAACACAAACCCACGATGTTTCAAGAGTGCATGAATAAAGATGTTGTCCTAGTTCTTGCTCCCATGGAAAAATTGTGAAGAAGCTGTTCTGTGGGCCTTTCAGTTGGGGACGAGTTAGCAGGATGTGGCCAAAAGGGCAGGGAATGTTTACGCATTCATGCAAGTCAAGCCACAGCCCATCTAGATAACATCTCCCTTCCTTGATGCAGGTATCCCAGTCCTGCCCTAAAAAAAAAAAGCAGGAGCCTGTCTTGTGCAAGCTTCCTGCAGGTTATGCACAGCTGGAATGCAAGAACATTGCAGGCTACAAAAGATCATGTCTAGGCATCTTTCTTTTGGAGTCTCAAGAACGGTGGGAATTACGTTTTTCTGTGGTAAAACTAGATTTTTGTCATTCCTGCAAAATTTGTAGAATTGAAGTAGTGTGTAAAATAATAATAATTCTGCTGAAAGTAATGGCTGTGCTCCAAAATATCTGCAGCGAAATCGATGGGTGTCAGCAGTCATAGAAGGCTCTATTGGAACTTCTTTTTCACCTAAAGTCCATGCACCCAACTGGTAATTAAAAATCTTAATTTAGTGGTTAAGTAGCTGGGTGTTTAATTAGGGACTCTGATAGACTGGTCTCTGAAAGCTCAATGTTATCCTTTCTATGTCTTATCAAGATGTTTAATGTACAGTATCATGGTTTTATTCGAAGTGGAATCTTTTGGTTTCAATGTTATTTTGAGCTCTCTGCTTGGACAGAGCTTTTTTTCCTGTTCAGTCTGGTGACAGCTCGGGGTGTGCTCAGAGAAGGGCAGTGGAGCCATGCACAGCACTGCTGCTTGGGTCTTGGCAGGGATGGTGCACATGAACATTTTGAAGTACAAAGGGATAAACTGACACATTTTTAGGACATAATCACCCATTAAGAACTGCTGGTTTTCTCCATTTATCTTGTAACTTGCTTAAAAAAGTCTGTAGTCCATTGCTATAATATTTGTCTAAAGATGCTCTTGCTGCTGAGACTATTGTAGGAAGGGAAGACTCTGTACCCTGTAGTGTGTTTGATCGGAGATGCTGATGTTTTATTCATCCACATCCTTTCTTCTTGAGTTTTGTGTTCCATCTGTGCAAATAACCCTGTGAATTGGGAATAAAATGTACAAGTTTTGACTATAACTTGAGAGCACCTTCTGACTTAATTAATCCAGCCGTAGTCTGTGGGAGAKGGARCCCCAAGCGCTGCTTCCCAGCCTCRCCAGCTTTTGCTTTTGTCAGGAACATTAATTAGTGTTAATTTTCAAGCCCGGTGTTCCCAAACCACTGGAAGGGCATGAAGGAGAAGGCTGCAGTTAGAGAAACTCCCTTGGGAAGGGAGCTGCCAAAATGAGGTCATCCCACTTTTCCATTTCCATCTGAACACAAAGAGATGCTTTTAGGGGGTAAAAAAAAAAAGTTTTATTATTTGTTTTGTTTCCAATTTGTACAAACATAATCAGTAATTGACAATTTGAAGTGGAGAATAGCTAATTAACTGGGATACAGTTCAGACTCTGGTGAAGGTCCAGGTCACAACACGAGTTTAGAGACTGCCAATTCCATATGATTTGAAGCAATAATTTTGTAAACATTCAGCTCAGCTGCCACTGCATTTGGAATGTACAGAAAGACGCCTCCGAACATTTCACAATCTGCAAAAGGCCTGTTCAAATTAAAGCACTTTTTTTTTAGTAATMTTTGTATTTTGAAAGAACMRTGGAYRGCYCTGATCTCACAGTTCAGCTGTTCCTGCTGCAGGATCAGCCGGAGTGTGACAGCACAGGAGCCACCTGCCCTGGCCCTCTACCGAGGGATTTTAAGCAAATATTGAGACAAAACATWGTTTTACAGAATATTGATGCATTTCAGAAACACAAAATGATTACAATCCTTTAGTTTTATCCAGCACCCGAATGCAGGCATTTGCATTTCTGTGGAACACTTGATTTGGAACATTTCAGTGTTTTTCATCACTGAACACACACCTCTCCTACACATTCACAACAGGAGGATCTGAAACTCCAGCAGCTTTTTTTTTTTTTTTTACATTTTTTTAGTTTTTTTTTTTTTTTTAAAAAAATGTTTTTTTTTTTTTCTTTTATTGAATTTTTTTTTTTTTTTTTTTTTTTTAGTTTTTTTTTTAATTAAAAAAAAGAAAAATCTAAATAAGCCTCTTTTGCACTGATTTTACTTTAAAAAATGAGATTACAACCAAATACAATGTGCATATTCACTGCATGTGAAGTGCAAGGGCACAGCCACAAATGTATTTTTTTTAAGTTTTTTTTTTAAACAAAATATCATTTTTTAAAACCAGGCCACGTACTCAACATGGTCATCTTACATTCAGCAGTTTTTGTACTAAAAATACTTCTGTGCAGGAAAGCCCAGCATAAATTTACATATGCTACAATGTTTTACATGTATTTACATGGCTCTGTTTTCCCTGTGAGAACATCTTAACACCTGCCCCRAACTATTAATTGTTACAAGGGGATCAATTTAAGACCAGACTAAGGAACTACTCCACCTTTTGACAAAAACTGATACAAAAATGTGGTTTAGAACTCCTCAGTGCATGGGCATACGAAGGATTTGGGGGAGGTTTTTGGCAGTCACCTGGCAATGCAAGGTCTTTAGTTGGCACTGGTGGAGATTCCCGGGAAGCACAGCTGGAGAGGTTTTATGGATCTAAGGAGTTCTTCCACACCCTTTCAGAACATTCCAGATTGCTTGAAAAGCTCACCACCACTGCAGGAGTGCCACTAAAGCTCACAGGGACAGGTAAGAAAATCAGCTGTGCTTCCCCTTGTGCCCAGGTGGAGGTTTCTGCTCTGCAGAGTGTTTAACAAATCTCACACCAGTCTGAAAAGCAGCAAATAACCTGACTATTAAAGTTTTCAGTGCGTTTTTTTTTTTCCAGTTCATGCTGCATTAAGTTAGGTAAAAGCTGATTTTCCAACAATTCAAAGTCACAATTCCAATTTTGGAACAGTCCCATTTATTCTTAAATACGATAAATGGTAACTGTTCAGGATTTGATTGATTTTTGAAAAAAATAACTATTTCACAGTGAGGCRAACACAGCACTGAACTTCTGAGGTAAAAGATGAGGGGAATGTAAACTTGCACCCCTCTCCAAGTGACTAACTACATGCAGCAAGAACACTGGAGTTGGGAACAGCAATGCTCAAAATTTGAAACCCTGTCAATCAAAATCACCAAGTTACATCTCAGGCCTGGACTTTCAGTAAGGTTTTGAGCTGAAATGTCATTATTTCTTTGTCAGAAGGTTTAAAAGAAACAGGTACCCAGTGGCTTGGTGGCTTAGGCAGAACACTTGGGGAGGGTGGCTCGCTGAACTTGGCCCCAGCATAGTTCTGATTGCTCTGAGGAGTGAACAACAGGTTTCGATTGGATAGAGCAGGATTCCAGCTGGGATTTTTGGAAAAGTGAACGTTGTTTTTCCCCCCTTTCTGCATGGCCTGCCATGCACCAGGAGAGGAGCTGCAGCCGTGGCCTCTTTCCTTCTTCGCGTAGGTTTTCATCTGAGAATTCTGGTCTTTGTTCTTCTGCCTGTTTTTAAGTTGTTGATGGTTCTTGGTGGTATTTCTAGACTGGGGAACGGGAATGTTGTATCTTTCTCCACCACCCATCTTCAACTTAAATGTCACCTGTAAAAATAAGAAGAAAAGTGAAGATGAGTTTTCATTATTTTTTTAAAACAAGTATTTCAGAGAATGTTTAGATKAGAAGCAAAGGGATAAAAACCAAATCTACCCAAAACTTGCTCTRAATACGCTACTTCTCTCCTCAGAMAAGTGTCATTGGAGGAATGGGRTTTAATCTGTCAGTATTGAGTGCTGGAGACGTTTAAACTCAGCCTGTTAACACCTACAGATTGGGCAAAGTTAGCACTGATAAWGCCACTCCCCAGACTTCCTGCTAAGTGTGAGAATCACTCTGATAAACCCGAAATGAACTGAAAACCACCTCAAATGGAACACTTTGTCACTCAACTGCCAAAGCCAACACCCAGATACCAGTACATTGTACACGGCACTTTCCTGCCAACTCTCCTGTGATGTTTCCCCTCTCCCACCCCCATTTACCTCTCAGTGGTCTTCTCCGATTCCACACTCTCCAACTCTTGCCCCCTTTCTTGCTTCCAAGCCTGAAAGAACAGGTGTTGTCTTGTGCTGGACTCCTTCCTTTGGCTGGGAATGGAAGTTTTCATGGGCTGATTTGCTGTCTTCAGCCAGTGAGCCGAGCCCAACATCGGATTCTCGGCACAGAAGCTCCAAGGGAGAAGTCCTGCTGCAGAAAAGGAAATYTGAATTTAGATTAAGCAAACAATTGTTTCAATTTGCGGAGGGGAAAAAAAGGCAAGTAGAAATAATTCAGAAAATTCAAAGTCAGCTGTGTCTCTGTTAAAGATGACAACATGCTATAAACAAAACCCCACCCAAAAACACACAGCATTATTTGTCTTTCTCTAGTAATATAAACTTCACTATCAGACTTAGCATTTCCCAAGTAACATCTCTTTTCTCATGCTCTATTTAAAGAATCATTTTAACACGCMATCAACAACTTTATCCCTTCGGTTTTAGTAAGGAAAAAGTAAAATACAATGGAAAATACTTTGGGAACCGGGTACAGGAACTGCCCACAGTGTACAAACCCTTGCCTGGACATCAGAGGTTCATTTCCCATCTGTCAGCTGTTTCTTTCACCTTCGTTAGCCAAGTAATTCCTTAATAACGCTTACACTAATTTCCTGTTTTGCCCATGGCTCGTCCTTTCCTGGGATCTCTAAGACTTTAATCTTGACGCACTCCAATCTGTTCAGCTCCTGTCACTCTCCAAASTGAGGAGCCCCCAGCCCATCCCTCCCACAGCTCCAGAGGAGCCGCCCATCTCCATTTCCAGCTTCCGCCTTGTTTGGACCGAGACCAAAARCCGAGATAACGTCACCGGCCCCGGCCCAGTTGCAGTTTGATCCCGTCCACCGGCGTTTCTTCGTATCCCAACTTTCTCCGTTCTCTCACGGACACCGAGGGAAGCCGGGACCCCCCGTCCCCCTTTCCCCAACAAGGGAACACAACATGGCGGCGGCTGCGCCCGGCCCTTCCCGCACCGCTCCGCCCTTACCGACTTCTGTCCGCTCCGCTAGCCCACAAGGACGGACACACACACACACGGCCCCTCAGGAACCGACCCCGCGCTGCTCCGCCGTCACCGTYCGATCCCCTCCCTCAGCGCTCSCTCCGCTCCGCKCTCCCTCACAAAATGGCGGCCGCGTCCTGCGCCGTTTAACACCCTCTCCCTCCTCCCCCCGCCGCGGGGCCGCGCGGYCTCCACCAATGGGAGCGCGCCGCTCTCCCGCTCCGCCAATGGGAGCCAAGCTCCGCCTGTTGCTGGGCGGGGCCAGGGCAGAGCGGCCGCGGCGCGCGGGCGGGCGGGGCCGCCATTTGAATCCCCTCACGAAGGGCAGCGCGGGAGCGGCCGCCGCTCTTTGTCCCGCCCGGGCCGACCCAACCCCGGGCACCGCCCGAAAATCCCCCGGCCCAACCCCGGGCACCGCCCGAAAAATCCCCCGGTCCCTCTCCACAAACCCCCGGACACTCTGCTGGCTCCTCCCTGCCATGGAATTAGCACAACAAAAAACTAGGGAACGCCCGCGCCAGCTGCCGCTGGGGGCTTCAAAGAGGTAAAATAATTMACAACAAAAAAAACAAGGGAAAAACGCGCAAAACACCCGGCTGTGCAAGGGGCGTCGAGAAAGAGGATTCAGCGAACAAAGAGTAAAATGCAGCCCCCCCCCAGAGATCCCCGCAGCGTTTTGATGTCAAATGGAGGGGTTTGGGGTTTGTTGAGTCCATTCCTCATGCTTGCATTTCGTTAAACTATTTAATGTTTAAATTTCAAGTATTAAAAATAACGTAGAGGGATGTTTCAGGGCAAAATACAGGGAAAAGCTTCCCCAGGTTTAACCAGCACTGTGGGTATGCAGAGCCCCTGGCAGTGGCTGCAGTTTCTGTTTATATTCACATTCTCGTATTTTGCCTCAAAGGAGCATTTTGAAGAAAAAACCCACAAGATTTGGCCTTTCCCATATGTAGGATGAATGAAAATTAAGTACACACAAGGAATTTGCACATGTAAGAGTGTTCCCTGCCYACCACTGAGGGGCCAGTCGAGTGTATACACCACATTAAAGGCCAAAAAAAGAAAGTTCCAAGGAAAATGGAAAAGAACGAGTTTAGTTCCAAGCCCATCAATTCAGGGCAGTGCTTAAAAACAACACATGAACATTCAGATATTTTATGTTGAGGCACAGACGGAGATCTTGGGTTTATTGATTTACTCTGATTTTTTTTGCTAGAGATGGGAAAAAATACTAATTTCTGCTTTATCCCTGAAACATTTAAAACAAAACAGTTTCTTTACTGATCTGGTGTTATAGGGCTGTGCCCCATCCCAGGACAAGGTAAAGACTCCAAAGGGAAGTTTGCATTCATTATACAGTTATTTAAAAAGCCAGCATATATTTTAATACACAAGATKTGTTGACATACTCAAGCCCAGATCCTTTATTCCTTTATCCTTTATTGCATGTTTGCACAAAGCAAGCTGAAATTAGTTTGTTTTCCTCCTTTTSCTTTGGATTTCTTGGCACGATGTTATGGCTGAGGTCCTCGTAGCAGCTTTTTTGCCTTTAACTGGAAGACAACAATATCTGCTGGAACCAAACCCTTAAGCCTTGAAATTCCACTCATTAATAAACAACTCTCTGATAATGCACGTCAGCAGATTTTTTTTTTTTTTGCTTTGGATCTATCTCTAGCGTGTTTATTTCTGCAAAAACACAATCTCACCTCACTGTGTGGATGTTTTCAAGCCAGGACATGTCAGTGGGATTAAGAAATAGCATTTTGTAGGCTGCAAGTGTGCTCTCTTGTCTGGGGAGCACAACAGCGTGTACTTTTCCATTCARATCAAGGATGACACAAGGTCTGGCTGTTTTTCCTCACTATCTTTGAGATAATTTAAAAAAAAAAAAAAAACATCTTGTCTTTCAGGGCTGGTTTTGGGGTCAGGCTGACACATTTAGCTTGGGGGAGCAGGAAATGTCAGTGATAAGCCAGTCCCGTATTTGTGCAGGAACTGTTCTGCTGGAACACACCAGGAACACAATGACTACAGAAAATTGTGTCATTMAGAGGCTGAGCAGGAAACGAGGGGTATTTTTTTGAATCAAAAGGACAAATACCCCAAACACCACAAAGTCCAGCTTGYGAAGTTCTCTGTATTTCAACCTTCAGCTGTTAAAGCCCTGGGCTGGTTTTCTCTTCTGCCGAGTAAGGAAAGGAGATGTTCCCAGATGTTCACCCCAACATGGACAGAAACACTCGAGTTCTTGAAGACACAGCACTGACTGAATCCTGAGGTTCTGTCTCAATCTTTTATCATCACGATCTGAGATTCCTCCAACACGAGCTACTTCACTCCTTGAAATCATGATTTTTAAACTCTCTYTGTTTCCAAAGGTCTCAATGTAAGGTTTATAACTCCTAAACCTGTGACACTACATCGACCTCAGTTACTCATGGGCAGACTGGGATATTTTAGYTGCCTCCAGGATCCTGTTGTGCCCACCCTTCATGTCCTGCAGCCCCTCCAGTTCCAGAGGCAGAGCCCCCAAACTCTGCTGGAACAGGATGGTGCTTCCAAACCCGACCCTGCAGTGCCACGTGGTGACACAAACTCGGTGACCTCAGTGCCACTGCACCCTCTCATAACCTGTRCACAGCACAGACGTGGCTTTTTTATTGTGCAAGTGTCTGCTCTGTCTGGATTATTCCACTTCCTCCAGGTAGCCCCAAGATGACTGCAATAAATCCCAACTTTCCTTATGTTCCCAGGGAGCTGCATTACCCAAAATCCTGCTTCTGCTGCCACRGTGACAGCAACTCAAGGTTTTCCCCAGCCACCTTTAATTTTCACTCAGCACCTCCACTCCCTCTCACAGCAAACATTAATCCAGCCCAGGGACGCAGCTCCATCTGTGCTGGCATTGCCACAACCAGCAAGTTCCAGTGGTGACAAAGCCTCCAGAGCTTCATTAGCCCCAAATTAAGACGCTTCCAGCTGTGGCTGTGATGGCTCTCACCACACACGCGCTCCTGAYGGAATATTTCAGTGGAACTGCTCAGCGTGGATGCTGCAGGAAGTCTGCAGCAGGGATGACTCATTTGGTAAGTCAATAGTGAACCATTGCCCCAGTTTTATTCCACAGTGACGAGTTTCCTGCAGTGGGTGACTTTCAGTAAACCCAAGATGTTTACTTTTCGTGGCTCCAAGAGCCCCATGACACACTTGAAACTCGTTGGACGTTTCTATCTGAGCCAAACATTAACCAGATTGTTAATCCAAGTTTCCTCATGAGGGAAACGTGCGAGCTTGTGTTTTCTTTARAATCTTCATGAAAGCACTGAGTATACAGTAATGTTTAGAATATATTTTATTCTGCCTGGCAGAGAACCCGTGTTTATCAAAYAAAGCTCAGAAAATTCACAGTAGTGAACTATAGGAACCAGGAAAACATTTGAACCTCTGCAGAGTAAATAGAGAAGAGGCTTGAGAACTCAGGCAATGCAATAAAACYACACACTTTAATTGCTTAAATTTCCATATAAGTATGTTGATATAACCTGTAGACATGAATTAAATTGGTGTCCGCCAGTACCTGAGTTACATCAGCTGCAGAACACGAGTTTCCTCCTCTGCACTGCTGGAGCCAAGGAGTGCTCGTGAGTGTGAGATCACATCCAGCACTGCATTTGTGTGTGTAGGTGTACACAGCAAACAGCACCAAGAGTAAAACCACCCTGGACACCAACAGATCAGTTATCTAAACCCTGAGCCTGAGGGCACAGGGGATTGAAGGGATTGTGCTGAAGCAGCTTTGTCACAGCTGACATCCCARCTCTGAAAAACAAGCACATCCAGGCATGACTCCCAAATCACACCCTGTTTTCTGCCTCAACAGCTCATTCAAACCCACACCAGCTCTGAGTCACAGAGCCCTGCAGGAACCTTCAKCCCATCGAAATCAATATACCTGGTTCACATCCTATCAGCAGGGAAAACATTTCCACCAGAATTGTTTCCTCCTCCCTCCACAAGAGCAGCACAGTTGTTTCTGTGCAGCCAGGCCACAGGAGAACCCCTWGGACAAGTCCTGTTTGCTCACAGGAGCTGTGCTATGGTAATTCTGAGGGTTTTTCTGAATTTTCTCTATGAGAGCAGTAGAGTCACCCACCATGGCTCTCTGAGTCACACCTTATCAAGGTGAGCACTCACCYCACCCTCAGCCCTGTCTGCACCACCCAGTTTTCAAATTCAGCCCCAGAAAACGCAACAGTCAGTCTTTGACCCTGGGTATGGGGTGTTCCCAAAACAGAATTATTCCCTGGAWTAGCTGATGCCAGGGGGAAAAATCCAAGCTGAACAAAAAGCCTTTACATACASGAATCAGCTGTAATGTTTTTCCTTTACTCTGGCAGGATAATTTTTGCCAGAGGTGAGAGTCAAATTACAGCTTCTAACTATGCTGCCATAWTAACATTTCTTTGCCATAACACACGGTGCTGTGACACAACAGTTCCCTCTGCAGACAGAGGAAACTCAGGTCTGTGTCTCACAGGATCGTGCTGGATGTGAAGCTCTGTCAAAACAGGGAATAATTTGGGGCCGGGTGCTGCTTTTGAAACTCAGGACCAGTATAAAATATCTGCTTTTCTCACCTCAGTCTCGTACCTTTTCCTGTAAAGGAAAATTTCTCAGTTCCTGGGAACCGGAATGGAAGAATTGAGACAGAGSTGCCAACCCATCATTTCCTCCTGTGCTTACACCACAGCCCGATGCCTCTCTTTGTTTTTGCGGTTTCCCGAMGCGCTCCCAGACCCGCCCAGCCCCGAAAGGGAGGTCTCTGCAGAGCTTGAGCACCCCAGTGAGCCAGGGAACCCCCTTTTCCCGGTCGGAGCCAAGGAGGAAGAGCCGAGTTCCCAATTTTATCTTTTTCTCAAGCTCGCCCCGGCCGCTGTCCCCGCCAGTGCCGCGGATTCCCCTGGCGAGGGCACTCGAGCACCGCGGAGCTGAAAAACCCCAAACGGTGGCAAAGCAGGGTTCGGAGGGAACGAGATGGAACTGATGGAGATTCCACCGAATGAGGGAATTGGGATCCCAGCAGGAGGGAAAGTTGAGTTTTCACTGGGAGAATCGGG